ACCTCAGGGGTCTGTTCAGCCATCTTCCTCCCAACCGTCTATCCTTGCATCCATTCACCAGTGTGTTCATCTGTCCATTCTTCTGCCCATCTCCCTGTCCATTCTTCCATCCATCCATTCACTTAGTCATTCAACAAGTATTTGTTGAGCCTTTTTTCTGTGCCAGATGCTGGGCTGGGCAGCAGGTAAAGTAGAAAAGAGAACTGTCTTCATCCTTACACCACTGAAAGTTACTGTGAGTGGAGGATGTAGACAAACATAACCTAATTAAATAACTAATTACAAATTACAACCAGAAGGATAAAGCAAGTGATCATGAAGCTGAGATGGAGCCTAAATAGGGAACTTAAGTTCTGTGAGGGGGAGAAGGTCACATCTAAGCTGAGGGCTAGAAAGGAGAAGAAACCAGCTGTGCAGGGCCCAAGAGAGGAGGCATCGGGAAGATGAGGTGTATGCAGAGGCCCTGGGTTAGGAAGGAACATGCATGCTGAGACACTGCGGAGGAAGTGAACATGAGGTAAAAGGAGATCACTCCAGGGTGAAGAGAGCTGCGCAGAGGCCAGGCTTCCATCGGGAGTTTAGATTTTCCTAGGCACACAGTGGGGAGTCACAGACAGGTTTTACCCATGAGTGTCATACAGCCTTTTTGCAACTTAAAAAATCACACTGCATGGAGGAGCAGTAAAGGAGAGCAGAAGCAAGCCCAGGGCCACTGTGGGCCCAAGTGTAGCTGTGCAGGCCCCCAGCAGGAGAGCAGGGCCAGCTCTGGGGTGCAGCAGGCTTGCTAGGCTTTGTGGGGCTGGATGGAGGGGGAGGGAGACACCCACTGTGATTGTCACCTGAGGAGATGGGTGTTGTTGAGGGAGGAGCCTTTGGCAGGAGTGAGGGCAGCATCAACACCTTGGCACTCTGGTGTCTGTGGGTTTTCCAGGTCCACCGGGCAGCTGGATATCAAAGGCAGAGCTGAGAAGATGGTCTGGAGACAGAGAATTTAGAGCAGTCTGGGCTCTTGAGAGAGGATGAGCAGCAACAGGAATTAGTGTTGGACAGAAGAGGAGGAGGAGGAAGACGAGGGGAGAGTGGGGTCACAGGAGCCAGCAAGAGGAGAGGACAGCTCTGCTCCTTGATCTTGTGTTCCTGCTGGATATGTGGTGTGATCACTACAGGCTTTGGCCAACAGCTCCATGAAGTCGCACCGTGCTGGTGCAGCCCAGTACGGACATGTGAATGTGGGGGTGGGGATAATGAGCAGAGCTCTGGCTACAGAGGGAGAGAGGAAAAGGAACAATGGACCAAAGGGAATATGACACTAGAGAATTATTTTGCTTTATAGATGGGAGATGATCCCATGGAGAAAGAGTGATAACCAGAAGAGGAAGGAATTATCTATAGGGATCAGGCCAAGGAGGGTTAGGACCTGAGCAGGATGGAGTGTTCGCTTTGGGAGCAGGAATGTTGGCAGGCCTCGGATGAGGGGCAAGGAGGCATCTCCACCTGATGTTTCTTGGTGTTCATGCTGGGAGGGAGGGAAAACCCTGAAGTGCCTGGCTGGGGGCCTGGGTGAAGCCTGCATACAGGAAGAAAAGAGGAAGCAGCCAGGGTGAGGGTTTTGTGCTGCACTATTGAGCTGCTTACAGACATGATGGTGTTGCAGGGTTGCAATGGAGAGTAAGAGGCAAGGGATGATCAGAATGATGGACCGTGGATTGCCACTGCACAAGGACGGGGGCAACACCAGCAGGGTGTCAGTGGGGAGGAAGCACTGGGGGCTTCCAGTGAGGCAGAGGACCTAGGGGTGAAGCAGCACACCTGAGTGTGGAGGGGAAGAGAAGCAGGAAGGAGGCCCTCTCAGTGAAGGTGCGGTTTCTGGTGATGACTGAGCCCAGTGGCTGGGGGGGAGTGGAGAGGAGGATCTCAAACACAAGAGTACTGGAGAGTCACCGTGTGGATGTTGAAGTCACGGAGAATGGCAGGAGTGGGGGAGACAGGAAGTCAGGAGCTATAGTCAGCAGGAATGAGGGGAAGTGACCAGGAGAGAAGCTGATGACAGCTTTAGTGGGGAGAGGGTGGTGCCATCAAAAGCAGGCGTTTCAAAGGCATTGTTGGGAAGAGGCCAAGAGGGAGACCAGCATTAACTGCGCCCCTGGCAGTGGTGTCCTCAAAAAGCTAAGTTTCACGTAAGACCAAAGGGAACAGGGCAGATGGTCCTGCTCAGCATAAGGATGCTGAGGTAGTGCCAGCTGGGAGGACACACATGAGCTCTTCTCCTCACCCCTCCATCCATCCATCACCCATCTATCCACTTGTGCGCGATCTTCCATTATTTATCTCTCCTGTTTCTTACATCCATCCCTTGAATCTTTACTACACATCCCATTTGGCACTGAGGAACATGCAAACTGATTAGTGTTCCCATCAGGATCCCCAAGGAGAACAAGGCAGAAACTGTCTGAATGACTGTGGCTGATCCTCAGGGAAGGGATATGTCTACTAGACCTTCTCAAGAGAGAGATCTAAGGAGGAAAACAAGCTGGAACATCCCAGGCCAACGGACAGATGAGCAAAGTAGAGGCTTCAAGATATGAACAAGCCTGAACTGTGAGGAAGTTGAGAGGCCCTGTGCCTCCCAAGCGTTGGAGCTGGAGAGAAAGGGAGGGACCAGAAGGTGGCTGCTTGTCTGCTTTATCCTGGGAACATCAGAAAGCCACCGTAAGAAGCTAGCTGACAGCTGCCATGGCTCCATAGCTGCAGTTGCCAGGGCCATATACAGAGCGCATTTCAGGGAGTGGAGCCTCCGAGGTGGGGGCTCAGCAGGCCCCCGCCTCACCTCAGGCATGTCCTCTCCCCCACAGTGACAGCACACACTGAGCCGTGCAGGGGGTCCTGGCTTCTGCAGCTCTCCTGTGGTGACACGCAAGCCCCAGACCTGGCCCCTAAGTGGGTCTGTCAGCAGGGAGGGCACAGGACTTGTACCCCCACAGGCCCAGCCCCACTCCCATCATCTCCCCAGTCTTCTGTAGCTTAGAGGACAGACCACCATCCCCTTGACTGCCCATACATTTGCCCAGCTATCTCCCTGGCATGGCCGTATTCACTTGGACTGCCTGGGTAAAGTCCTCCTCTCCTTCAAAGCCTAGCTCAAAGTGTTGTCCTGGGGATTCCTTCCTGGGTCCGCACTGTCCCAAAGGGAATTCCCAGGACAACACCTTTGAGCTGGGCCCTCACTGTCCTGTGGGATCCCCTTTCCTCTGGTGTGAGCTCCCTCCTCAGCAGTTCTCTCCTCAGTAGGGTACAGTGCTGCCAAGTGCCTGGCCCTGTGACTTGCGTGGCAGACTGAGCAGAGGAGGCAGCAGCAGAGCCCAGGGCCATCTCCCACCTCAAGAAGAGACTGGGGAGATGATGGGAGGGGGGCTGGACGTGTGGGGGTACAAGTCCTGTGCCCTCCCTGCTGACAGACCCACTTAGAGGCCAGGTCTGGGGCTTGCGTGTCACCACAGGAGAGCCGCAGTAGCCAGGGGGAGGTTAGCCCGAGTGAGGAAAAGATGCTCTGAGCTCAGGAGCGGGGACTTTGCAGCAGTCCTGCGCTGGCCAGGCAAGAGGCTGCCTTCTTTGGGCAGGCCTCAGTTTCCCTGTCTGCATGGTGTAGCAGATGCTTGATAAGCATTTTTCAGCTGTGGTCCATGGTGCAGTGGTATCAGAAGGGTCTGGCATAGAGTGAGGCAGGATGGAAGAAGGAAGAGCCAGCAGGCTGGGTCATCTGTGTGATGCTGAATGCCATCTTGGTGTGTGGAGCGCACTGATCACTTGAGCTGGGCAGTTTGGAGTCAGGGTGTGTAGAAACACATATGGTGGTAGTCCCACAGGCTCTACCCAACTCCACAAGCTGCAGGGCAGGACCCTGGGCCCTTGGGAGAGTAAAAGACTTAGACTTCTGCCCCCTCTGAAGGGCTAAAATCCTGAAGGGCTAAAAGAGGCTTAGGGCAGGAGACTGGGCTTTGCTACCCCCCAGGAGGACAAGGACTTGGGGTGGGGACAGGACACAGCACTGGGCCTCCAGCCACACAGTCCTCCCTTCCTGTTGTCTCAGGATGGTCCTGGCAGGATGCATCTGCCAGAGTTCCAGGCCCACACCTCCCCCGAGGTCTGCACCCACCCCCACCGGGATCCCTCCACAACTGCAAGCACATAAGAATATGTCAGGTGCATAACTATGCATGCTTACACACACACACACACACACACACACACACACACATAGCAGCAGCAGAAGTACACACCAGAGACACTCAGAGTCACACACCCAGGCCCACAAATGCAAACAGATGTGCACATGTAGAAGACCACACCTCTCAATACATCACAACAACACATACAAATACACACACCATCCACTGGGAGGAGGCTGGGGTGCAGAGCTTGTGGGCAGCAGGGCAGGGGGCCTGGTCCCAGGTACCTGTGGTCATGAAGAGGTGCAAACAGGCAAAGCAGCCACGTCTGTGCACTTGAGGAAGGGCCACAGGGGAGACAGGTATAGGGAGGCCTGGCCAGTGGGGAAGCAGGTAGAGCCATGAGGCAGACTCCTGGGGCACAGGCAGAGCAGGCAGGCAAGCCATGGCCTGGGTGTGCTTGGGGAGGGCCTGGGAGCAGCAGGGCCACTTCATAAGCATTGATGGTCTGGAATGTAGGAGGGCTGGACTTCAGGCAGAGCTGTGGGTCTTGATGCCTCCCACCCACCGTAGGAAAATGCCAGAGATCAGAGTTCAGTCCCACTGAAGTCCAGAGTCGCTTGGGGCTGGGCTCAGGCTGTGGGCTGGGGGAAGCCTGAGATGGAGCTCACTGGATATCTTGGGGTGAATATGGGGAGGCCTGGTTGTGCCAACTGAGAACCACCAGACTGCTCCACCCTAGAAGAGGAGTCCCAGAAGGCCGAACAGGGACTGACTGACATTATTCTGTGAACTCACAGCCCAGGGGCACACTAACCCTGTTTCCCACCCCAGGCCTGGTGAATGGCTACTCCATGACCCCCCCAACCCTGAACATCACAGAAGAAGTGCACATCATCAACACCAGTGACAGCCTGGCCATCTCCTGCAGGTACAGGGGCCTCCCACCTGGCAGCCCAAGGAGGCTGTGGAAGGCTGAGGCAGTTCTTTCCCAAGGCAGAGAGGCCAAGAGGGGCTCCCAGAATGGGGGCACCTAGAGGTTCTCAGACACAAGCACCTTCTGCTCATCCAGCCTCACCCAAAACACTCCCCCCACCGCCAACCACCCTGCAGTGGCCCTGGCCAGCTTGTCACTCGCTGCTGCGGGAACCAAGCAGAGGTGCTGCATCCTGGGCTGGTTCTGCGGTGTGTGCCCTGGACTGCCCTGTCCTCAGTGGTACACATGGTGGGCAAAGCTCTTGGCCCTGAAGGAGGACTGAAGGAGACCTCCCCTGAAGGGACTGTCCCCTTGGGCTGCAGTAGGGGAGGGTCCTCCTGACCTCTCTCATCCTCTGTCAGGGGACAGCACCCCCTCGAGTGGGCCTGGCCAGGGGCTCCAGAGGCACCGGCAACAGGGGAGAAGGACAGCGAGGACTCAGGGGTCGTGCAAGACTGTGAGGGCACAGACACGAGGCCCTACTGCAAGGTGCTGCTGCTGAACGAGACCCACGCCAACAACACAGGCAGCTACCGCTGCTACTACAAGTACATCAGTGCCCGCATTGAGGGCACCACAGCTGCCAGCACCTATGTGTTTGTTAGAGGTGAGGAGAGGGACATGTGCAGAGGCCAGGCACAGCCAGGTCCTCCCGGGTCAGTTGGTACCCATGCTCACCTCCAGCCTGTCGCTCTCAAGCAGGCAGGAGAGGAGAGGGGGACCTGCCCCTACTCCCAATGGCAGTAGGCAGCTGGTATGGACTCCCCAGTCCCATGAGCTGCCTAGCTGCCTCCAACCCTGGTCAAAGACCTGAGCCTCCACCTCCCTCAGCTCCGACTCTGTCTCCTCAGACTTTGAACAGCCATTCATCAACAAAGCCCACACACTCCTGGTCAACAGGAAGGACTCCATGTGGGTGCCCTGCCTGGTGTCCGTCCCTGGCCTCAATGTTACACTGCACTCGGTACAGTTCCCATCCCCCATCCAACCCTCCTGTTCCATCCCTGGGAAAGGTGGCTACTGGTCTGGCCAGGCGGACAGGGCAGCCAGGTGCTGACAGTCACCATGTTGCTCCAGCAAAGCTCAGTGCTGCGGCCTGATGGGCACGAGGTGGTGTGGGATGACCGCCGGGGCATGCGTGTGTCTACGTCACTCCTGCGTGATGCGCTGTACCTGCAGTGTGAGACCAGCTGGGGCGGCCAGGACTTTTACTCCAGCCCCTTCCTCGTGCACATCACAGGTAGGAGCCATTCTGGGTCCCCTGGAGGAGAAGGTGGCCCTCCCCATTCCCAGTAATGGGGCTGTTAGGGCCCCCAGTGATTTGGGGGCACCTTGTGCTCTGGGCTTTGTGTGGTGTCCCTGTGCATGTGTCATATGAGGGGCATGGGAGTCACTGTGCGTATGTCACCAGGCAATGAGCTCTATGACATCCAACTGTTCCCTAAGAAGTCCCTGGAGCTGCTGGTTGGAGAGAAGCTGGTCCTGAACTGTACTGTGTGGGCCGAGTTCAACTCGGGTGTCACCTTCGCCTGGGACTATCCGGGGAAGCAGGTGAGACCAGTGGCCCTGCCCGGGTGCCTTCTGCCCACAGCTGTCCTACTCCCTACCCCGAGAAGCCCCCGTCACCTGTGCCCACCTGTGCCCAGCACACACTGGGCCTTTGTGGAGGAGATCCAGACCCAGCTGGCCTCAGGAACCCCAGTCTGATGGGGCAGTTTTCTACCCCACAGAAAACTCTGTGGGCTTCCAGAGCCACTGCCAGCTGGGCAGGGCATGTGCCTTGGTGGGTTAGCACTGCCAGAACTACCTGCTGACCCCGGGCTTCCCCTGGGTGTGGGCAGGCAGATCGGGGTAAGTGGGTACCCGAGCGGCGCTCCCAGCAGACTCACACAGAGCTCTCCAGCATCCTGACCATCTACAACGTCAGCCAGCATGACCTGGGCCGGTATGTGTGTGAGGCCAACAATGGCATCCAGAAGTTCCGGGAGAGCACCGAGGTCATTGTACATGGTATGACCACCAGCATGTCCTGGGGCGGTTCCTGGAGGACAAGGGTCCCTGTGTAGTGTGGGTCAGCGGTCAGAGTGCACCTGCTCAGCAGGGAGCCCAGCCAGAGGAAAGGAAGCATGAGAGGAAGCCCTGCCCAGCTCATCATGCTAGGGCATGGTGAGCCCCAAGCTGCAAGTGGCTGGCTTTGGGGCTATAAGGGCCACAGCTGGGGATCCCTGGTCAGTGATGGGCCACCCCCAGATTTACACTGATGCCTCCTGTCTGGCAGAAAAGCCCTTCATCAGTGTCGACTGGCTCAAAGGACCAGTCCTGGAGGCCACAGCCGGGGACGAGCTGGTGAAGCTGCCTGTGAAGCTGGCAGCTTACCCGCCACCGGAATTCCAATGGTAACAGTTTGGGCCCTTCCCCATGCTACCCTGCTAGTGTCAGATGAGAATGGACCAATGGGCAGAAAGGGCAGTGTCCTTCCCCATCAGATCTTTAGCTCTGCCACCCGCACAGGGACCTCTCTAGGGAGATCCCCTAAGGGCATATGCAGAATTCAGTATTTTAGCTGGAAGGAAAGCTGGTCTGTAAGAGGTGTCAACACCAGCCTCTGGTTTGGGGGTGTGGTGGGTGCCACCTGGTCCTCGTCTGCTAGCCTACTGCACTGCTGAGGCCTTGCCAGCTGCCCCACCTGCACTCTGAGTATACCTGGGCCCCCCAAAGCAGTGGCTTCAGCTGCTCCCTGCAAAACTCAGGCATACTCAATGCCTTCTTTGGTGCTCCCTTGGTCCTTGAGCCATCCATGTGGCCCAGCCTGCTGGCCTGAGACCCCATAATGCAGAGGGGAAAACAGGCTGAAAGAGGGGGTAGACATTCATGACTCATACCTGAGCCCCAGGCCTCCTGAGAGGGGTGCATACTCTGCCCTGGCCCAGCTAGCTAGAGAAACCTGGCCCTTCCCAGCCATCTGCACCAGAGCCAGGGAGATAGCACAGCCTTGGTTCTATTCTTACCCTTCGTTGTGACCCTAGCAAGTCACATCCCTCTGTGAGCCCTGACTGTTGTCATACTTGAGAGGAGGACCGCTGTGTCCCTTTAGCACAGCCTTCTGCCCAAGAACCATCTCTTCCCCAGCCCACACTGCATGTATGTCTGGCTTAGCGTACCCAGCACCTGAAGACTTCTGCTAGAGTCTAGAGCTCAGTTTCCAAGGCCTTTGGAGATCCCAGTGCAGGACTGGGAGGAGCCACTCTGGAGTGAGGCATCCATCTCCACACACAGTCCATGAAGCATCTGCAGGGGTCAGGCACTGCTCCTCACATAGAGCACACAGCTCGGAGCCTAGTGTCAAGATAGACAGCAGACACATGCCTAAATACCACTGTGCTAATAAACAGGAGGGCAGGCAGGGCAGGCAGGGCAGGCAGGGCCAGGTGCCATGTTACTCAGATGAGCGAGAAAGGCTTCTCTGATGAGCCAAATGCTCCAACCCCAGTGAAGGGGGTGGAGGGCCCTGCGAATTGCCATCTACAGGAAAGAGAATCCCTGCAAGGGCTACAGTAAGTGCAAAGGTCCAAGAGAGGCCACATGTCTAGAGAGCTCAAGGAAAGACAGAGCTGGGGATCCAAGAGAGAGGCAAGGGCTGCCTAGCATGGTGAGCTGGCCTGTGCCCCCACTTTAACTCTCATGTAGTCTGTGAGAAGGAAGTGGGGGACACTGAGGGCAGTAGTTGGTCCCCCCATGCCAAAGCCCAGCTGATATAGAGGAGTCAACCAGGGAGACCAGGAAGGTGGGCAGGACCCTCTGGCCTGGGCCTGGTGAGCCTGGCTGCAGAGAAACCTGGCCTCCTCCTTACCTGAGGAAAGATCTTGGAGGCTGTGGGGTGTGCTGCTGCAGGCCTCAGGGATGCTCCTGAACTGGCTGCCTGCCTGACAGGGCTGTGACACTTGGCAGATGGGGCCTACAGACTCTCTCCAGAGCCTTTGGCCACTACTGTCCAGACCAGAGCCTTCTGCCCCACCCCGAACTCCTGCTGCCCTTGCTCGGATCCTCCAGAAGGGGCCACTTGCTCCAGCCTAGCCCATGAGCCCCTCCTCTTCCTGCCCCACCAGCAACACATAGGGCCTTTCACATCTGTGTTCTGCATCTGTGGGTTCAACAACCACAGACAGAAAATATCTGAAAAACCAAACAATGCTTTATAACCAAGCATGTACAGACTGCTTTGTATGTTTCCCTGCACATTTTAACATAACAGTAATTTACATAGCACTTGCATATATTGGGCACTGGGTCATCTAGAGATGATCTGAAGTATGTGGAGGGATGTGCGTAGGTTCTGTGCACACGCTGCTGCACTGTACAGGAGGGACTTCAGCACCAACGGAAGGAGTTTGGCATCCAAGGGGTCTTGGAGCCATCCTGCTTGCAGGGGTGGAAACACTAACACAGGGCCTCACTTGGGCCCTGAACTCCTTTCTTGGGCCAGGTACAAAGACAGAAAGGCAGTGACTGGGCGCCACAGTCCCCATGCCCTGGTGCTCAAAGAGGTGACTGAGGCCAGCGCAGGGATCTACACCCTCGCCTTGTGGAACTCCGCGGCCGGCCTGAAATGCAACATCAGCCTGGAGCTGGTGGTGAATGGTAAGGGGCAGTGGGGCAGGGAGGGGAGTGGGGAGGCACGCAGGTGCGGTGCAGCAGGATGGGGTGGGCTGATGCGCTGCACCTGTGCCCTCAGTGCCTCCCCACGTGCATGAGAAGGAGGCCTCCTCCCCCAGCACCTACCCCCGCCACAGCCGCCAGGCCCTCACCTGCACGGCCTACGGGGTGCCCCCACCTCTCCATGTCCAGTGGCACTGGCGACCATGGACACCCTGCAAGACCTTTGCTCAGCGCAGCCTGTAAGTGTGACTCAAGCCTCACTCCTTATTTTGTAGCCCTGTCCCCAGCCTCAGCCATGTTGAACCGATATCCCAGCCCCTGGCTGCACAGGCCTCACCTATGTCCTTCCTGGGAGCCCTGCTTGAAACTCAACCCTACCATGCCTCTGTCACCTGGGATTTTGAGATCTTACTCATGAAATCCTTTCTCAGACCAATGTCAGGAAGCGTTTTCCCTGCTTTCTTCTAAGGCTCCCACTTAAGTCTCACCTCTTTGGAGTTGACTTTTATAACTGGTGAGATAGGGATCAGTCTACTTTCATTCTTCTGTGTGTGGATATACATTTTTGTTACCATCACATATTGAACTGACTGTTCTTTCCCCAGTGTGTCTTCTCAGCACCTTTATTGACAATCAGTTATCTGTAAATTTATTTCTGGACTGGATTTATTTCTGGACTCTCTTCAGTTTGATTGGTCTATACATCTGCTTTTATACCACTACCATGCTGCTTTGGTTACTGTAGTTTTGTGGTATGTTTTGAAGTTAGGTAGTGTGATGTTCCAGCTTTGCTTTTTTCACCTAGAATTTCTCTGAGATAGCTAGGATATTTTGTGATTTTATATGAATTTTAAGATTTTTTCTATTTCTGTGAAGAACATCATTGGCATTTTGATAGGGATCACATGTAATCTGTAGGTGGCTTTGGACAGTATGGACATTTTAACAGTATTAATTCACTGGTTCAGCACTAGCCAATCCCTGGTCTCACCAGGCCTGAGCAAAGCTCCAACCCTTCCTTATGCCAGCAACTCAGGATGGGCAAGCTGGCTGGGCTGGCTAACATATCAGTGCACCACCCAGGAAAGACAAAGTAGGTGCCTCTGAGCACCAAGAGGGGCCCCTCCCACTAAGTGGGCAGGCCTGGGATATGTTAGAAAACTTCTGCTGAGTCCCAGGACATACCAAGCATACTCAAACACCTAAGCTCATCTGTGCAACTCACAGCTCCCCCCAATAGATGGATAAACAGGATCAGATAAAGGACACATTTCTCAAGGTCCTAACAGTAAGCAACAAACCTTGTCCAACTGCAGGCCATGTTATCCTAATCTGAGCTGGACATCAGTAAGACAGGGAGGGAAGGAAACCACTTAGGGTGGAGATAATAGACATACAAGGGATAGGAGAGGAGGGTACCACAGTCCTCAGGGGTCTCAAAGGCACTGGGAATGACTTTGAGGATGGCGAAAGGGTTAGACCCCTACCCCGCAACATGCCCAAATGCCCATATACCTGACCTGCCTTTGTCCTTCCTGGTCTGCGGCAGCCGCCGACGACAGCAGCGAGATGGCATGCCACAGTGCTGGGATTGGAGGGAGGTGACCATGCAGGATGCTGTGAACCCCATCGAAAGCCTGGACACTTGGACCGAGTTTGTGGAGGGAAAGAACAAGGTACAGGCCAGTGAAGCCACCAGGCAGCCAGGGGAGAAGAAGGAGGTTGGTGGGCCATCTCATGCCTTCTGTTTCTACCTGGCCTGCAGAGCTTTAGGGGCAGCAGCTGGGAGGCGGTGACCTTTCTACAGGCTCTGGGCCTGAGCTTCCCTGCATATGGATGGGGGCCAGGCCTCCGGCTGCTCCCCAGACAAGGAAGCTGAGTCCATTGCCTCCTGGTCAAGCCATAGGCCCTAGGGCTGGGAGAAGATGGGGCAGGGACCGATCAGGTTTCCACAGAAGGCTGCTGAGCCACTAGACCAACCTGGGGGCCATACTGAGAAGAGGCCAGGAGGGGGAAGGGGACTGAACAAAGGCACCCACTTCCTACAGTCACTTCCTGTTTTCCTACACACCTCCAGAGCCCCTTCCTGTTCCAGGCCTGGCCAGGAAGTGCCCAGCTTGGGGTGGGGGTGGGGGTCTTTGGATGGTAGGCAGGACCTGTGGCTCTCTCTCCTCCCTTACTTTTCAATCTTCCTACTCCAAAACCAAAATCTTTGTGGAAAACATAGGAAACCCCCCCAACCTCAGACTTACCCTGGATGAGAGGGCTGCTCTGCGTCCAAGGGCTGATGTGGGCACATAGTGATAAACTACTATCCTTAGGCCACAGCATCATCTCAGCTCGAGAGTGGCTGGCCCTTAATTTTAACCCCAGCTTGGACTCACCCAGCTGCCAAGCTGGTTCCTGGCCCCATGACGTGCCTACACTCTGAGTCCACTCACAGACAGAGTTCTCTTTGGTCCAGCCAAAGCTGTCGTCTGACCTTAACACAGCCTAGGCCAGATGCCTGGACACTGTCTGACACTTTGCTTTTCTGGGGAGCTCCCTCTCTCTGCTATGTGAAGATCTTCCCTTCTCTTTCCTGCCTCATCGTTCCTGGTCTTCTCTGGGCTCTGGTCACCGCAGTTTCCCTCACTACTGGTGGGCACAGGAGACTCCTTCCAGAAGGGGAGGGTCCAGATTGGGAGGACTAAGACAGGAAATAGATGTTTGTGCCTGTACCCTGTGCAGACGGTGAGCAAGCTGGTGATCCAGGATGCCAACATGTCTGCCATGTACAAGTGTGTGGTCTTCAACAAGGTGGGCCAGGACGAGCGGCTCATCTACTTCTATGTGACCAGTGAGTGACCAGAGCAGACCGAGGGAGGGCTACCTTCCCTGCGCAGCCCTGGATGCAGGGTCAGGAGCAAGGCTTGGGTTCACTCAGTTTCTGCTGACCGTGGGGCACCCGGGGAACCCTGGACCTGGGCAGGAGGGTTACATGTAGAGAGTGTCAGCACATGGTTTGGATGCTGGTACACTGGGTTGGCGCCTCTGCCCTCGCCCTGGAGGAGTGTCCTCCTGCTCACTGCAGCTCCTCCTAGCTCTGCCTTCCTCCCACCCCTTCTCAGACTCAGGAGCTGTGTGGTTCACATGTGCATTTTGCCCTGGAGAGAATTCCATGGCTTACTCAGATTTCACATGCATTGGTGACTCAGAAGACCTACGCAGCCCAGAACCTCAGAGTATAGATGAGGGCTCTCCAGGGATGGAAACCGAGGGAACGCTTGGGTCAGAGCAGAGCCCACAGGCGCCCTAACAGGAAGTGACCAGGAAAACAGAAGAGGGTGGCACTGGCAAAAGCTGCTGAAGAAATGGTTTCAAGGAGAGGAGAGTGGTGGGCTGTGGTCACAGGAAGACAGCATGAAGACACAGGGCCCCATGGGTCTGCTGAGCAGGAGCTCCAAGATCTGGGCTCCCTGTCCAGGAGGGACAGAGCAAGTAGGGAGGAGGAGCCCCAGGGCTGGGGCTGACTGCAGAGAGGGGCTTCCTGGGTTGTGGGGGAAGCACAGGGGAGTGGTGGGCTGTGGGTGGGATGACTGGGATACACGGTTCACAGCCTTGGTTCAGATCTGAAGGAGTTCACTGGTGATGGCCCTTAGGGGGCCGGTGGACAGACAGCAAACGTCTGGGCAGTGTCACAGGGCTTCCCCACTCCCCAGCCATCCCTGACGGCTTCAGTATCGAGGTGGAGCCCTCCGAGGACCCCCTAGAGGGCCAGTCTGTGCGCCTCAGCTGCCAAGCTGACAACTACACGTACGAGCATCTACGCTGGTACCGCCTCAACCTGTCCACGCTGCATGATGCTCACGGGAACCCACTGCTGCTCGACTGCAAGAATGTTCACCTGTTCGCCACACCGCTAGACGCCAGCCTGGAGGAGGCTGCGCCCGGAGCGCGCCACACCACACTTAGCCTGAGCATCCCGCGAGTGGCCCCTGAGCATGAGGGCGACTACGTGTGCGAGGTGCAGGACCGGCGCACTCAGGACAAGCAGTGCCACAAGAAGTACCTGTCCGTGCAGGGTGAGGCGCACCGGACAGCGGGAGGGCCTGGAAGGCGAGCCAAGAGCGCCCCCTGCTCACACTGCCTCTCCTGCTGCATCCTGTAACCCCTGTCACCCTCGCGCCCTACCCGCCCCCTCTCAGCCCTGCAGCGTCGCGTCCCGGGGTGCCCTCTTGCTTCTGCAGGGCCACTTCACCTCCTCCTCACCCCCGCCCCCAGCCCTGGAAGCCCCCCGCCTCATGCAGAACTTGACGGACCTCCTGGTGAATGTGAGCGACTCCCTGGAGATGCGGTGCCCGGTGGCGGGAGCGCACGTGCCCAGCATCGTGTGGTACAAAGACGAAAAGCTGCTGGAGGAAGAGTCTGGTAAGGAGAGTAGCGCCGGGCGACGGGTGGGGAGGCCTGGGAGGCCATGCTCCTGAGTACCCTGCACTTGCACCCCATCCCACGCCGGCAGGAATCGACTTGGCAGACTCCAACCAGAAGCTGAGCATCCAGCGCGTGCGCGAGGAGGACGCCGGGCGCTATCTGTGCAGCGTGTGCAACGCCAAAGGCTGCGTCAACTCCTCCGCCAGCGTGGCGGTGGAAGGTCAGCCCCACCGCGACCCCGCACCCCCGTTGGTGCCCTCTCGTGGCCACCTCCCGTGAGCCATGCCACCAGGAGGGGCGCTTCCCACAAGGCCTCCCTCCCTCGAGTGCACGTGCATAGGCGCACTTTCGCCCACTCAGGCTCCGAGGATAAAGGCAGCATGGAGATCGTGATCCTCATCGGCACCGGGGTCATCGCTATCTTCTTCTGGGTCCTGCTCCTCCTCATCTTCTGTAACATGAGGAGGGTGAGCGCACTTCCCCTTGCTGAGCCTGTGTACAGGGTCTCTTGCGCAGCTCCCCTCCCTGGCCCGAGTAAGGTCCCTAACCCGATTTCCGTGGCAGCTCCTCCAGGCTCCCTGTCCTTCCACACTGGGCTCCAGCAGGCATGCACGCATGCATGTGTCCTCTCGGTCTGTCCTTTCCTTGGTCGAGCACTCCAAAACAAGTGTCACCTGTATGGGCAATGTCGCCTGAGCCACGGTGGCATGGCCACAGCACTGATCTGTCCTCACCCGCCCCAGCCGACCCACGCGGACATCAAGACAGGCTACCTGTCCATCATCATGGACCCGGGGGAGGTGCCCCTGGAGGAGCAATGCGAGTACCTGTCCTACGACGCCAGCCAGTGGGAGTTCCCGCGGGAGCGGCTGCACCTGGGTGAGGCCCACAGCCTGTGCACCCCGCGGAAAGCCCTCGGTCCTCAGAACTCGCTCCAGGAAGACTCCCGTCCCCACCTGGCCCGGTCTGCTCCATCTGGCCTGCGTCCTCAGACCCACGCCAGGGCGCGGCGTTCCCAGGCTCAGGTCACTTCCTCTGCTCGGAGCAGGGTGACCTGCACACCTGCTGGAGAGGATATGAGCCTTCCTGCCCTCTCCCCTGCGCTCCCGCGCGCTTCCTGCTTGGCAGCAGAGGCTCCGGGCTCCCCTCTGTCAGGGCCTTCCTTCCCACCCTTCTCCCTTGCATCTCACCTGGAGCTGGCCTCCCGCCCACAGGGAGAGTCCTTGGCCACGGGGCCTTCGGGAAGGTGGTGGAAGCCTCCGCCTTCGGCATCAGCAAAGGCAGCAGCTGTGACACCGTGGCTGTCAAAATGCTAAAAGGTGCGAGGTCGCGGGGTGAGGAGCCGCAGCTGGGGCAGGACTGCGGTACAGGAAGGGAAACTGAGGCTCAGAACTAGCATCTCCCCTAAAAGTCCACAGGTAGACGGTGGGAATCAAACCCTTCCTGCACCCCTGCCTTAGTGGGACCAGCAGGTTGTGCCGGGGACCCTGCACCCGCACCCAACTCGCTCCACCGGGGAGGGAAGCTGAGGCGGGCGGGCAGGCCCGGTCCCGCGCTAGGCCTCTGTGTCCCCTCCAGAGGGCGCCACGGCCAGCGAGCACCGCGCGCTGATGTCGGAGCTCAAGATCCTGATCCACATCGGTCACCACCTCAACGTGGTCAACCTGCTGGGGGCGTGCACCAAGCCCAACGGTACCGACTGCTGCCCTGGAGGAGCCCCGCGCACCTCCGGGTGGGAGGAGCCCACGGCGGGTGCGGGGTCCCCGCGCCCCCGCGTCACCTCCCGCGCCTGCCCTGCCCGCCCCAGGCCCCCTCATGGTCATCGTGGAGTACTGCAAGTACGGCAACCTCTCCAACTTTCTGCGCGGCAAGCGCCAGGCCTTCAGCCCCTACGCGGTAAGAGGCGCCTCTGCGGAGGTGGGCGCGGGGCGCCTCTGCTGTGGGAGGCGGCCCCCTCGGACCCGCTCTGTGCCTCTCTGCAGGAGAAGTCGCCCGCGCAGCGGAGGCGCCTCCGCGCCATGGTGGAGGGCGCTGAGGCTGATCAGAGGAGCCCGGCAAGCGGCGACCGGGCCCTGCTCACCCGATTCCTGATGGGCAAGGGAGGGGCGGGGCGGGCTCCTCCTGTCCGAGAAGGTAAGAGCCTGCTCCCTCCCGACCAGCGGCGGGCTCCAAGATAAGCCCGCTGGGATAACCTGGCCTCAGGGAGGGACTTCCTGGAGCAGCAGAATGGGGACTGCATTAGAAGGGACATCTTGGAGTCTTCAGAGGTGTCTGACCTTTGACGTGGGTATCGTAGGATGTAGAGGCATTTGCCCTGCAGACAAGGTGAAGGAACAGCCCAGGGCCATGCAGCAGCTGCAGAGAGGCCCGGCGGTATCACAGTCCGCTGCTCTAGGAGTAGTGAGTGCTTATCTTAGAGAGTGGAGGCCGAAGGTCGGGAGAGGGGCTGAGGTCAGGAGGAGGCGCCTCTCGAGTCCATGCCCTCCTTTATGCAGCCGAGGACCTGTGGCTGAGCCCACTGACCATGGAAGACCTTGTCTGCTACAGCTTCCAGGTGGCCCGGGGAATGGAGTTCCTGGCCTCCCGCAAGGTGGGTTCCCCCAAACGCCAAAGGCCCTTTAAAAGGGAAAGGGCACAACCCCATCCCGATGCGTAGGTCTGCTCATTTCGCAATGGCCCTATGGTTAATCAGTGTCGCTCCCATTTTGCAGAAGAGGAAATTGAGCCCAGAGTGGGCAGTTCCCTTCCTGGGGCTTCCTGGCTAGTCAGTGGCAGAGCAGATGTGACTGCCTCCCTGGGTATCTCTGCTGGAGATGCACAGAAATCTTCCCCTGACAGAGCAGGACTCAGGCATCCTCTGGGCAGCCTAGAGGTCAAGGCGTGGGTGTTACTTAGGGCCTGAGCTGAATATTCCGCTACCTTCCTGCACCCCAGTGCATCCACAGAGACCTGGCTGCTCGAAACATCCTGCTGTCTGAAAGTGACGTGGTGAAGATTTGTGACTTCGGCCTGGCCCGAGACATCTACAAAGACCCTGACTACGTGCGCAAGGGCAGCGTGAGTGCAGGCCACCAGGAGGAGGGAACATGAGTGCTGGGTAAATGGGCAGAGTGAGGCTGCAGGAATAGTGGGCTGGCTCAGACTCCTTGGTCTGCCAACCCACCTGCTCAGCTGCTGGGCGTCTCACTGCCCCCAGAGCCCTTGGGGCACCCTAGTGACCATACCCACTGAGGCAACATGAGGAGGAGAGTGAAGACAGGAGCTTGTGTTGGGCCCAGTGCCTGTCCCTGGGTGGACACTGGCTCCCCGTGCTTACCATGTTAGGCCCAGGTGTAGAGGTAGACTCGTCTGCCCATAGGTAACACTCGGGCAGTGCCTGTTTGGGTATCCATGGCTGATGAGGGTTTGTGCTAGCAAGGGGGAGGAGGAGGCCTGGGGTGTCCACATGCTGTGTGATAGCCACTGTGCCCAGCACAGCCCCTGTGGAAGGCTTGACCCTCATTCCACCTCACAGGTATGTGACAACAGGTGGAGGTGAGGGTCCCTGTATAAAGGAAAGGAGACCAGGACCTGGCCTGGGGCAGAGCCAGTCCCAGAGGGCTGTGTCCCTCACCACTCCCAGGGAGAAGTCATGAGAGGGAGGGAGACAATAAGGAAGAGGCATCCAGACCCCCAGAATGACCCTGCTCCTAGTGAAGGGACATGGGAGTGGGTGGGGTGCCAGTGGGGAAAGTGGTGAGGGTGTGTGGGGACACCTTACCTCAGGGTGGGGCTGGGCTGTGCCTCTGGAGCTGGAGGAAGAGATGCAAGGAGCATCCCCCAGGACAGCTCAGAGGACCTGAAAGGGCTGGACAGACAGAATGGCTGAAGGGAAAAATCTTCAATCAGAAGGAAGGGACACAGTGGGGCCAGGGCCCCCCTTTCCTTCTCTGCCCGTGAAACACATACATCCCACCTCCCCAGGCCCGGCTGCCCCTGAAGTGGATGGCCCCTGAGAGCATCTTTGACAAGGTGTACACCACACAGAGTGACGTCTGGTCCTTCGGGGTGCTGCTCTGGGAAATCTTCTCCCTGGGTGAGTGCAGGCAAGGGTCCCTGCTCTGGCAGGTGCTGTCAGCCCTTCCGTGGCCAGGGCAGGGCACTTGGAGCAAGCAGCCCAGGTTTGCCAGGGGCCACTGCAGTACCACCTCAAGCCTGGGCCGGGGCGGCGTCTGGGTCTCTGCAGCAGCCCCCAGCTCTCCATGGGTCTGTTCAGTGAAGGCAACTGCTCATGCAGGAGGCACACGAGGACGTAACAGCCAAGACTGTGTGCTAGGATGGAGGGGGTAGTAAAATTCTCCAAAATGACAATGAAAATGCTGTTAGGGAAGATAAAATTGCTGACAGAGTCTAGGAGCTCAGAGGCTGTGCGCCAGAGGGGCTGGGAGCTGGAACACAGCTGAGCAAGACAGGGTGTTCCTGGCACACACTAGGCTCTGGGCTTGATCCTCAGCACACTAGGAAGAAAGGAAGGGAGGAGTAAAGGGAAGCAGGTGGGCCTGGGAGGACCGAAGTCCAGGTGAGGGAAGTGGGCAGGGAGCAGCCAGGGTGGGTGTCCATGCAGTAGAAAGAAAGCGAGGCTTGGTTTAAAAGGCTTAGTTTGGGGGCTGGGGATTTAGCTCAGCGGCACAGCGCCTGCCTGGCAAGCACAACGTCGTGAGTTCAATTCCCGGTACTGGAATAAATAAATAAGTAAATAAATAAATAAATAATAAAAGGCTTAGTTCTGTGCAGTCCCATCAGCCCCGACGATCCCAGGAACTGTGACTTCACTGAAGAAGGGAGTGGGTGCACCTTGCCTGCACCCCAGGGGGCAGCAAGGTGAACTCTGTCTTTATCCTGCCACAGAGAAAAAAGAAAGGGAGGAGGGGACAGGACAAGGGTGATCGGGAGGCCGTTTCACCCCTGGCCACCCCTTCCTACTGGCAGGGGCCTCCCCGTACCCAGGGGTGCAGATCAATGAGGAGTTCTGCCAGAGGCTGAAAGATGGAACCAGGATGAGAGCCCCGGAACTGGCTACCCCTGCCATGTGAGTCTCCTGCTGGCATGCAGGTGCTAGGGAGCAAGGGGACAGGCGTGTGGAGAGGGCTGTGTGGCCACGAGAAGCGGCATTCAGGCACAGGGGCAGGCCTGCCCTGCTGTGTGCTAACCCCAGGAGGCCTGGACCCTGCCTGTGGACACAGTGATAGTAGTCCCAGCACCCTAACCTGGACAGGGAGGCACAGGTGCCCCGAGAACACCTGAGCCAGAGTCACCAGGGACAGCGTCCCCAGGAAGGGGCACGGAGGTAACACTTGCAGAAAGAGCAAGGGGCAGTTAGAAAACTGCTCTAGGTGGGAGGCATAACTCATGCCAGGCCTGGAGGGGGAGGACAGAGTGTGTGTGAGGAGCGAGCTCAGTCTGTTTGGTTTCCCTTTTTAAAAAATACCTGAACCTGGGCACTTATAAAGAGAAGAGGCTTACTCAGCACAGTTTTAGAGTCCAAGAGCATGGTGGCCGCATCTGCCTGGTCTGGGAAGGGCCTTCAGCGACATCATGGTATGGCAGGCGACACCATGGTGGGATACATGAGAGAGGGAGAGACCACACAGCGAGACGGGAAGTGAGAGACTGGGAGGGACCAGCTCCGTAACAACCTGCTCTCGGCGGGACCCACTCACTCCACTCGGGACCCAGTTACTTAGGCTGGGCTACACTGCGCTGGGACTAAGCCTCTATCTAGCACAGGAGCCTTAAAGGGTCACGGTCAGGCCATATCCAAACCACTGCAGGGAGCCAGCAGGCAGGAGGGCTGGGCTGGCTGGTGGGAGGGCCAGGGTGCGCTCAGCACAGGCCAGCAGCTATCTTCCCCTGCAGACGCCGCGTCATGCTGAACTGTTGGTCTGGAGACCCCAAGGCAAGGCCTGCTTTCTCAGAGCTGGTGGAGATCCTGGGCGACCTGCTTCAGGGAGGGGGCTGGCAGGTGAGCCCCAGCTCTGCCCTACCCTGGGGCCTGCCCTGGCTGTGCCTGATCCCTCCCACCTCAGCTACGGGCAAGGCCATGTGTGTCTGGGCCCAGGCCCCTGGCCTCCTTTCCTCTGCCCCCACCTGACTGCTGCACACAGGCGCAGAAGCATCTTCTGCTGGCACAACAGTGGCAGCTGCCCAGAAGTCACCGTCACTCCACAGGGCACCCAGGCTGGTCCTCCAGGGCCTGCAGAGCAGCCCATCTCCTTGGCATAGCAATGGACTTCTCCACCCCTTCCCACCCACTGGGTACACCGGCCCCAGACCTGTGTGTTCCGCACCTCCCTCCCCAGTGGTGCTCAGGGACGGTGCCATGTGCTCTGGGACCTGACAGAGCACCCAGGAAGCAGCCTGTATCCAAGCCTTTCCCCACAGCCAAGCCTCAGGAACTGGGGATAGGAGTTTGGTGCCAGTTCTGCCCAAGGAAAAGGTGACATCCTCTAACTGGTCCCAGACCTACAAGGGTATCCAGAGGGCCCAAGAGAAGATACTGCATGAGCCTGGCCCCCCGTCTCCCTCGCCTGCAGATGGGGCCCTGAGAGGGCTGTTGGGGGAGTTGGATGAGGCGGCCCATAAGCCGTCAGCACTCTTGACCTGGGCCCGCCCTGAGCACTGGCTCACAGTGAGCCTTGACCCCATTTCAGAGGTCAGGACTCGAGCAGCCCTACATACAGGGGTAGGAGCTGCAGGGTGGGACAGCGGGTGGCCTCTGGCCCCAGCTACCTCTCTCATTCCTGTCAGGAGGAAGATGAGGACTGCATGGGCCCATGCGACTCTCAGAGCTCAGAGGATGGCAGCTTCTTGCAAGCATCCACCACAGCCCTGCATGTGACCGAGCCGGACAGTGGGGACAGCCCACCAAGCACACATCGTCACAGCCTGGCTGCCAGGTCAGCTGCCCTCCCCACACTGGGCATGGGGCACAAGGCAAAGATCAGTTTGGTGGCAGCTCTTTTATCCTCCTGAGTCATCAAGGAAAAGCAACTGCAGCAACTTGAAAGACTACTGGATGCCAGAGTGACTTAAATGGCAGCACTGGGCACCAGTGTATCCAGGGGTCTGTGGGGCTCCCCCAGAGCCACACAGCCGCACAGCAGTGCGTTCCTTACAGCTTCCTCACCCCTCCAGGCTGAGTACCAGTGTTTTGCTCCATTTTCCATTGCTATAACAAAACACCAGAGCCTGGCATTTCAGAAAGAAGAGGGTCACCTAGCTCGTAGTCCCAGAGGCTCAGAGTATGGCCCTGGGACTTCTCTGGCTCTGAGCAGAGTCTCCTGGCAGCTGGCATCATGATAGCAGGAGCCCATGCTATCATGTGGGACAGCTATGTGGGACAGGAACCCCGAGGTTCAGGAGCCAGGCTTAGTTCTTCTTGCAGCTCACTCCCTGGGGAAGAGGCTGCGTCCCAAAAGAGCTATATTAGTCCCTTCCAGGTGGGGAACCCCCATGACTTAGTTACCGTGCATGAGGCCTCAGCCTTTAAAGGTTCCATCCTGAACGTCACCACTCTGCACAGAACCATAGGGACACACTCAAGCCATGCGCAACCACAGGTGCCTCCAGTCTGTATTATTGGCCCCCAAAGAACTGCTCATCTCAGTTTCAAAAGAATGCCCATCTTTCGCAGTTGCAGGGAGACAATGTGAGTGTAAGACTCCTCCCAGTGCCTAATGATTTAGCTCCTGAGCGAATCCCAGGAGCCAGTACCAGGGACACTGGGCGCCGAAGAAGCCATTCATTACCCACATTTGGGAATGAGGACCTGGCCCAAGTTCTGGGTTGAGGTCTCTTGCCTTGGCAGTTCACGCCCTGCGGGACGTGGTACTCTCTACACTGCACCTTCCAGCTGGGAGAATGGGTGCTGAGAGCCCAGCCGTCTGCCCCAGGCACAAGAGACAAGAACAGGAGCTGGTTCCTGCCTGGCTCATTCTGCCAGCCTTTTCTGCCACACACATGCGCAGGCAGACCTGCAGCCACATGCACCTGTGCATGCACACACAGGCCTGCCAGCCACGGCCCACCCCAAGGAGAAGGCTGCCCACCACAGCCAGCCTGTGCCCCACTGCCCTCCACTGGAGCCCCCTCTATGGCCTGAAAGGTTCCGTCCTGGTACAGGACGGGATACGGCTGGGGAGAGGGAGGGCACTTGCTGGAACCCCACAGGCTGTGTGATGGGCATCTGAGCCAGCCCCTTTGTCCCTGCCCCTGCAGCAGGGCCTTCCTGGAGGAGACAGCAGATGTTGGGGGAGCCTGCAGGGGGATGTGGTGCACTTCTCCAAGTACCCACTGTTTCTCCCCTCAGATACTACAATTGTGTGTCTTTTCCTGGATCCCTGGCCAGGGGGACTCAGACCCAGGGTCCCTCTAGGATGAAGACGTTTGAGGAATTCCCCATGACCCCGACAGCCTGCAAAGCCCCTGTGGTAAGGACGGGGTAGGAGGGGATCCACACTTCAGACTGGGGCCTAGGCAGGTCTGGGGTTGGGGGAGGCAAGCATCAGAGTCCTGAGGCAAGTGACAGAAATCAACTAAGCCTTTCTAAATATTTATTTAATCTTTGATTAATGTGTATAAATTGTGTATATTGGGGGAGTTTGGTGTGATGTTTCAACACACGCATACGGCGCGCTTTGATCAAATCCACCCTCCCTTCAGGCCCCCTCCCAACTCATCCCAGCCTCTAGTAATCACGGCTCTGCTTTCAGGACAAAATGCTTTAGCAGCCATCTGTGAGAGAGAGCATGCTGTGCTTGCCTTTCTGTGTCTTGGTCATTTCACTTCCAGTTCCATCCGTGCTACTACACATAACAAGATTTCCTTCTTCATGTCTGGACAGCACCCCACTGTGTATGCGTTCCACATTTGCTTTGTCTACTCATCCATCCACATATCTTATTGTGAACAGTGCTGTCTCAAAAAAAGTAAAAATAAAAAGGGCAGGGGGATAGCTGAGTGTGAAGGGCCTGGGTTCAATCCCTAGCACCAGAAAAAGAAAGAAGGAAAGAGTGAAGGGAGGAAGGGAGAGAAGGAGGGAGGAAGGGAGAGAAGGAGGGAGGAAGGGAGAGAAGGAGGAAGGAAGCAAGCGAGCTCGGGTATACAGGCATCTCTTTGGTGAAGTCTTGAAAATGGCGAGGCCAAGGGCTGCTTCTGATACGTAGGGTCCAGGCACTCACGCAATGTCCCGGTGCACTGCTGTTGCTCTGTCCTATCCCTGTCACTCAGGGCCTCCCCCTCCCAGCAGCCCCAAGCCCTGTTCCCCCAGCAGAGTAGAAATCCCACAGGGAAGACAGCTACCATCCCACACAGTTACAGTGACATCAGCCCCCGTCACTGGAAGAGGAGGATAGGACATGGGGAGCAGGAAAGCTGCAGGCGTCGCCCACGTGGTGACACCTGTGTCCCCAGGTGCAGGTCAGGCACGCTCATGCTTAGCTTGGTGAGGCTGGGCAAGTGTCATTTGCTGAGGGAGAGACCAAGGCACCCAGACCTGAGCTCTGGTGGCTTTAGGTTGGAGTCGTGTTGAGTGCTGCTCAGTCTGTGGAGAGCACTGACCCACTGTGCTGAGTGGGGTGACCACTCAGCACAGACCCAACTCTGTGTGTCATGGGCCAGATGAAGACGCTGGGGTCTCAAGCTCTGAGAAGATCACAGTTCCCCTCTGTGGAGTTCAAAATGAAAACCACACAAGCCACACTTGAAGGGGAACAAAGCCCTACTAAAACCAGGATCTCTCTGGGGTCATCATTTAAAAAAAAAACAAAAACTGTGATTTGCCGGATTCTTCCAACTGCTCCATAATTTCTATTGCTCCTGCTGTATCTGTACCCTGAGCACATGTGGATCACTGACATAGCACCGCTCCCCGAGACCGCAGCTTCTCCCTGAACAGTGGGGACTGCAACCCCCACCTGCATGCTCAGGGGCTGGCGCTGGCATCCCTGGCCAGATCAGTTCCTATGGGGGTCGATGAGGTTCCTGGCAGCCACAGCCCTGGTTGGTTCCCTCTGCTCAGGATAACCAGACGGACAGCGGAATGGTGCTGGCCTCTGAGGAGTTTGCACAGATCGAGAGCAGGCACAGACAAGAAGGTGGCTTCAGGTAAGCACTGCTAAGCCTCCTCCCCTGCAGAGGGAGGTGCTACCCTCCCTGCAAGGGCCTGACTGCACCCCACTACTACTATGGCTCCCTGTCACCCATTGGTGTGTTCAACGCAAGCTACTGAGACTGAGGCCTTTGGCATCCAGCCCCTCCCCCATGTCCCCACCCTGACCCTGAGGCACCTCCCTGGGTGTGGCTCCCACTGCTCCCTGCGTTTGGCCAATGCACACCCAGTACCCCACACACCTGGCCCAAGCCCCCAACATCAACGCAGTGCCCACAGAAGCCAGGCAGATGATGTAACCTGAGCCAGCTGCTGCCCTACTTTGTTAAAAGAGAAATCCCACTGCGTGCCAGGACCCAGGGGAACCTGGGTAGAAGGTGATTCCCTTTGCCTATCAAGATAGCCCTCTGGAAGAAAAACAGTTTGGCCCCTAGAATATTTTAAATTTTTCAGAGTATACATGAAAGACTTACACGTCTGCTTAAAACATTCACTTTATTTGTTTTATTCTATTCTATTTATTTATTTTGAGGTGTTGGGGGTTGAACCCAGGGCCTTTGCATGGAGCTGCATCCCCAACACTTTACACTTTTTATGTTGAGGGTAACAGGGTCTCACCAAGTAACTATGTAGTCCAACCTGGGCTTGAATTTTTAATGTCCCTGCCTCTGCTTCCCAGAGTGCTGAGTTAGCAGGCAGGCCCCACCACGCCTGGCAAACAATTTGTTTCATTAGTTCACTAACGTATACCTGTCCAGATAACAGGCTCTGTGATAGTTGGTAAGGCACTGGTCTTCCCACTTTCTTCAGGCCGGCCCTCACACTTTAAACATCAGTATCCCTTCCTATCAAGAACGTCTTCTGAGGCTAAATCCCTCGCTTCTGCTGGTGCCATTTTTTACTCAGTAGATGATGCTGGCACTGACCATTTTACTGTAAATCACAAGTATTTATTTGTATAATGTTAGAATAATCTATGTGATTTTTTCATCTTGTAGGGTATATTTATGATCTGTACAGCTTACCAAGTACAGGTGGAATATGCCTTATCTAAAATTCTTGGGGCCAGAAGTGTTTCAGATTTCAAAGATTTTTTTTTCAATATTTGCATAAACTTTACACAGTTGAGCAACCCTAATCTGAAAATTCCAAATCTGGTTCTCCAAAATTTCAGATTTCAGAGACTTTTGAATTCCCTAAGAAGGGCTCTACATTTTTATTTTAATTCTCATTTAATTAGTGAGATGGGATATTTCCCCATGCCTTTGCTATTAAAATACTAAACTTTAGTGAGGTGTGGTGGTGCTTTCCTGTAATCCCAGCACTCACTGAGGCAGGAAGATCACCTTGAGTTTTGTAGAGTAAGCTCAAGGCCAGCCTGAACAACATAGTGAGCCCCTGTCTCAAAAAACAAAAACAAACAAACAATACTAAACTTTGAATTTTCAGATTCAGGATGCTCCACTTGTGTTGATGTTTTGCATTCTGGGAGTTGAACCCCGGGCCTCACACACGTTAGGCAGGCACTCCGCCAGCAAGCCAGCGCCTGTACTGACCACTGTTGACCAACCCCTGGGGATGTGTCTGCAGTGCTGCTAACATGGTGGCTTGTGGGTCACCCAAGGAATGATGACTGCATCTGTGTTATGCATCTCTGCCTCTTTTTCTTGTTTTAAATTGATGCCACAATCAGGAGACTTCCAGTAGTAATTTGGTTTTGGAAAATTAAGGCTCAGGTGTAGCTCAGTGGTACAGTGCTTGCCCAGCATGTGTGAGGCCCTGTTCACCTCAGCACTGCAATCTCGACACGAAAAAGTACAAAGGATAACAAAGGATGACAACTGTTGAAATTCAAATCTCCACACATCTTCCTAAACAACACAGCTGTTCAGGGAAATCGCTGGCACAAGGACACGTGTGCCCGCGCGTGCCCGTGTGTGTGTGTGTGTGTGTGTGTGTGTGTGTGAGAGAGAGAGAGAGAGAGAGAGAGAGAGAGAGAGAGAGTCAGCTCTGCGACCAGCAGGCTCTAACCTGAGCTATGGCAGAAGGAAAGTCAGATGAGGACTGTCCCTTGAGAGGAGAGTGTGACAGTGTTCGTGGGACAGGGACCTGGTGGCGGGAGCAGAGCTCCTGGTATGAGTGTAAGACTCTGTGAGTGTGGGTGCTGTCACAGAGCAGATGGTGGGGATAAGAGGAGGTTTCAGAAGACAGCTGTCCTGCAGAAGCCAGTTAGTACCCAGAACCCAGGAGACAGACAGACACACACGTGCACACACGGACTTGTTCAGCACAGAAGTTGTGCCTCAACAACAGCAGCAACGTAAAGTTTGCCTGGGTTCCCTTGGAAATTCATCACTCTAAGCCATGGAAGGATTCGGCAGATCACCTGGCTGGGACAGCTGTGGCACACAGAAAGTTTTCTAAACAGGTGCCAGGACAGAATGTGCCTGCGAGCACCTCTGGGGAAGAAGGTAGTTTACCTGCCTGGGCCTTTCGTGTCTCCTGTGAACCCTTGACACACACTGGCCCTGTGAGGTGCCAACTCTGCCTCCCTTCCAGGCTGCCCCTCCCCTTTGCAGAGACCATTCAGGATCCCGGTTCCCACACCCTGCAGTGTGGTGTTGCATCCAAGTCTATAGGTGAAAGGGGAATCTGGAGAAACTGCGCTTATGATTTCTCACATGGCTGCCTGGCAGCGTCCAATGAGAAGGCCAGCACTCTTTGGGTGAGTGAGTGGCTGACCCTCCGTAGCGGTGTGGTACTCACGTGAATGGATGTTTTGTAAGAGAAAAGGGTGTGAGCTGGGGGCAACTCAGTAGCAGAGCGCTTGCCTAGCATGTGTGGGCCCCTGGGTTCCATCGTCAGCACCATAAAAAAGGATGCAGTGAAAGGAATTTGAAGTGATACCAAAGATGTGTCTCCAATACATGAAGTAAAGCATAGACATAAAGAGTCAAGAAGATAAAATTGAAATAAAGAGGTAAAAGGGTCGGAAAGAAAGTAACAGACATAGATGAATAGAAGACATACAATGTGTGTAGAAGTGGAATCCCTGAGGAGTAAAGTGCAAACTAATATGTTAAACTTACAATTCAAAATAAGACTCTTAAGTAAATAAAAGAAGACCTATGAATAAAAGGACACTTGGGAAAAATTGGCCCCAACAGTCAACTCTGTGTCATAACCTAGAAGAACTATTTGGCTTCAACAGGAAACATTCTGGGAACTAAAGCAAAAAGACCAAGTTATTCACGAAGGGAAAAAAAAGAGACAGAAGTAGTAGCATTAAGATTTTTTTCAGCAGGGCATGGTGGCACACTCTTGTAATCCCAGCACTCAGGAGGCTGAGGCAGGAAGATCACTGAGTTCAAGGCCAATCTGGGCTGTATAAGTGAGTTCAAGGCCAGCCTTCGCTACATGGTGAGACCCTGTCTCAACAAAAATAAAAACTAATGAGAGCTGAAGATGGAGTATGGTCGTGCGATCAGAGAGGTGGGCGTGGTTGAAACCTGGAGGAGCCCCGATGTCACATCCAATTTAAAGGGTGTCTGCGAACGGGAGCACAGGGAGGCGGAGAAGAGCAAGCGCTCCGCCCGCAGTGAGGGCAGCTGGCTCCGCAGAGGCGGTGGCCGTGGGGAGCAGTGCAGAGGCACTTTGGAGTGAGCGCTCCATCCTTGGCCTGCGTGATGGCGTGATATTGGGGCGTTTATGGAAATGTCAGGGCGGGCGCAGTCTTGGGAGGGCGCTGCTTCCGACAGGCAGCGAGCAGGAAGGGCTGGCGGCGCCTCCCAGGCCTGGCGACGTAGGAAGAAGAAAGCTCCAGAAGGCAGGATCCGGTAGAACCGAGACGACCCGGAGTTCAGCGCGCGCGGGGTGTGCGCTTCGGGGCCCCGGCCCCGCCCGGCGGGCCGCAGCGGGCGCCCTTCCTCTCGCGGTTCGTCGGACTCAGCGGGATCAGCGCCGACAGGCGCGCAGGTGCATCTCTAGGGAGGCAGGCTGGGGCTGCTGGCGGCCCCGTGGCGCTGTCCAAGCGTGGGGTGCAGGAAGCTCCGGGGAGCGCGCTGTGGAAGTCGAGGCCGCGCGACGAGGTCTGTGCGTGCGCTTTGTGCCCCGCCGTCTTCGGCGATCCCGATCAGACCCCCTCGCGGCACGCTCTCCCCTTTCTAACGCCTCCCTCCCTGTCTCGCAGCTGTAAAGGACCTGGCCAGGAGGTGGACGTGACAAGGGCGCACCCTGAGCCCCAGGGCAGCCGGCGGCGTCCCGACCAGGAAGCCCAAGGAGGCCAGGTGTTTTTCAACAGCGAGTACGGGGCGCTCTGCAGGCCGCTGGAGGAGGGCGGCTGGGCCCCGGCCGCCGGCGCGCCGCTCTCAGACCGCAGCTACTAGGCCCGCTGACCCCGGGCTCCTACAGCGGGGCAGGGGACACCCCGGGGCCCGAGTAGAGAGCAGGAGGCCCAGGCTGGGCGTCACCTCCTTCAGCTCAGCCTGAGGCGCTTCTTCCCTTGACTCCAGGCTGGAGGGCTGCAGAACTCTGTCGCCTTGATGTCCTGAGGCCCCACCTCCAGGCACCCCCAGCCCCTTCTCAGGTGCAGACGCCGCTCATCCCAGCGACCCTGGCCACGGGTGCTGGCGCTGGGCCAGCCTCTCCCAGGACACTGGCTTGCAATTACTCCTTCTACCACAGCGGCTGGGTGACACAGGCTCCGTGTTCTGAGGAGGAGTGTGCGTGTCTGGGACTCCGGGGCTGGGGGCAGAGCTCCTTTCGAGCCGCATCTCGCAGCTCCCACCCAAATCAGCCTCCGCTTCCTCTGGGGAAGGCACGCTTCACCACTCTAGAGACTGCAGAGAGCACCGTGTTTCCTCCTCACAGCAGCAAAGGACGAACTGGGGGTGGGCTGCTCTCCTGAGCCCCACCTACTGGCCCCTGGGGTGACCCAGCTCCAGGGAGTGAGGCAGAAGGTCTGCCTGAGTGTGGAGGGCCAGCCCGCAGACACCTTCTTTCACTAGAACCTCAGGAGTCTCAGCTTCTGTGATTCCAATTTTCAAAACTTCAGCTGGAAGGAAGCCCCCTTTTTTATTGAAACTAGGCAGTTCTTGGTTGAGACGTAGTCCCCATGACCTGTCTCTCTCAGAAGACCCCCAGCCTCACATACCTGGTCCAGAATCAAGAACCAACCCGCAGCCCAGAGTGGCCCCCCTGGCTTTTCCCCTGGGGCCTGATCTTCAGCCCCAGGTGCCTCCAAGACTGGAGCACTGTGGGTTCCACCCGGAAGGGCTTTGGGGCTGGCACAGAGATAGTGTGGCCTGGTGCCACACACTCACTGCAAGATGTTCTGCGGATCCTGGGAGGACCTTGCCCTGCCTTCTGCTTCCCTCTTGCCTACTGTGGCACTTTTGGCCCCACAGGGGAGCAACCAAGCTTCCCTGGAGGTGAAACCATTCTGTCCAGACCCTGTCCCAGCTTACACTGCCCAGCCTCCCTGCCAAGAGAAAGAGCCTCATCTTGGTCAGCACCACAGATTGCAGCCCCCGCCCCTGCCCAAGATGCTTGCAGGACAGGCGGCTGGTGAGGGGGGGCCTAGCTGCAAATCCTCCCCACAGAGCACGTGGAGACCCCATGACACAGTGGTGCATGTGTGACGGGTCCTCGCTGACCCCGGACCTCCTTCATCTGCATGGCGCCTGGCCTCAGGCTCACCCGGGGACAGTCCAGAGGACGCTGTCTCTGAGGACTGAAACCAGCAGTGTGGGTGCAGCCCCGAGTACCTCCTGCTCGGTCTCCTCTCTTCTGTCATGTAACTGCACACACAACTATGTACTGGGGAAGGAAACCCACTGTGTCCTTGTAGACATGTTCTCTGAAAGATCTAAAATATTTAACAAAAGATAATAATAAATCAGATGCCAGTCTCTGAGTTACCGTGAGTGAGTTCTAAGTGAAGCCCCAGCGGTCTCACATTTTCATAGCGTTTTCTTTTTTCTTTTTTTCTTTTTTTTAAGAGAGTAGTAAATGAGAAACAAAGAAATAGAACAGTAGCAGCATACCAGTATCACAAACATAAACAAATCAAAGCAAGAACATTCAGAGTGATACAGGGTCTCAAGACAAAATAATATGAATCAACAGGGGTTGTTACATTACATATCGCTATCCTCAACTACATTGTTCCTTCACCAGGTGTAAGAATGAAAAACTGCTCAAACCATTACAGGGAATAAGAAAATAATTCTTCAATAAAACAGTAGCGATAATACAGTTTCACTAGACAAGATGGTAGGAGTTCAGTATTGTAATTCCATTGCACATTGTTACCTTGAAATCAGTTGCTCAGACCACCAGACACAAGCATGCAAAGTTGGTCAGAACATAAAAAATTGTAATCATTAACTGTTCATTTCAATACACCATCAGACATCAGCAATACAGTTGTCACAGCTATTCATATATATATTTATATTTTGCATTCCTTCTTTCTTTTTTCTTCTTTCCTTCATCCCAGTCATTCCTTCCTTTGAGCAATTTCTCTCCCTTTCCTATCATCTGTTGTACATTTTGAGTTTTACCTAGTCTTTCAGGTTCCTACACCAAGGAGACAATATGATGGTTACCCATCTGGGTTCCTATTTATTTCACTTATGAGTATGGTCTCTAGTTGCATTCATTTACCTACAAAAGCCTCAAGATTATCTTTTTTAATAGCTGAGTAATACTCCATTGTTTAAAAATACATCTTTTTTATCCATTCCTCAGTGGATGGTCATCTGGGTTATTTTTCACTGCGTTTTCATTGAAATCTCCCCCAGCCCAGGGAGGCCCAGGACAGGGTGCCCCATGGAGCTTGGCGAGGTGATTGTGCAGCTTGTGTTTGTTACTGTCCCTGCTTGTTACTGAGTGGATTCTCAGTACTGAGACCCTGCACGGAGCATTCATGCGTGTTGGGACAGTTTCATCTTGTACCATACCTGACTGAATTCAGCCACTCCCCAGATGTGTGGCCCACCCAGGTGTGCCCAGGCCTGCACATTGCCAAGACCTGTGGAAGGCTTCCCAGTGGTGTACTCACATCCTGGGCCCCTGGATCCTACCTGCTGCCTCAGGTGCCACTGCCCGTTTCTGGTACCCACAGCCATCCCTCCCGAGTCCCACGATGCTACACATTTCTGTCAGTCCCCAAGTCACCTTTTGGGACCAGCGGTGCCCTTGTGTGTCCAGAGGTCACTTTGGCCCAAGCTCAGCATCCACGGCTGCTTCGGAGGAGGGGTCTGCAGCTGGAGGCTGGGCTTCTGGGTGTCTGCTAGGAGCCACAGGTGACCCCTGGCCGGGGGTTGCACAGCTCGCTCGGGGAGGAGAAGCGGGAAGAGCCAGCATGGAGGCCCTGAGGTGGCGGAAGCTGGCTGGTGGGGCCACTCCCACGGGGCAGGGAGCACAAGATGGGAAAATTTCTTATTTTAAGGAAACAAGGGGTTCTGAGAAAGGTCAGTGGGCTCAGGCTGACATTTATTCTGCGAGAAGGATCTCAAAGGAGGCCAGGGGAGGATGGGCCATCAGAAGCAGCACCTGAGCCCACAGCAACCTGGGCTTGCACTGCCCCTTGGAGCCTCAGCCTCCCTTCTGCCACTTCCACTTTGCAAAGCTTTGGTGGAGTTACGGTACCCACGGTGCCCCTGGCATGACCACACCGTGAAGGAAGAAGCCTTCACCCCCCACCAATTCATGCCCACAGTGGCATCTGACACCAGTGCCGCACTGTGCATGCTCCCACCCCCAACCACCATCTGCACCCTAAAGGCAAGGCGATGGTATCAGCAGGCTGGGCCTTTGGGATAACGCAGCCACAAGAGGTCAGTCCCCTGATAAGAGGCCTTGGAGCTCCTTGGCCCTCATTCCACCCTACAGGGACTTGGGAGAAGTCACATGTCTGACACCTGGAGGTGGGCACTCACCAGATGCTGGATCTGCTGGGGCCTTGATCTTGGACTTCCAGCCTCCAGACTGTGGGGCACAAACATGAGTGATTGAAGCCAGATCTCTGGGTTTGCATAGCAAACCCCACTAAGCCACTGCCACTCTCTGTGGCAGAATAAACGGGCACTTTGGGATAGCAGTGAGTACCTCTCTGATGGGGAGGGACTAGTTATAGATGTCTGGGCTAGGACATCCCCGGGGTCTGGTCCAACAACCCACACTCTCACCTGACAGACAGCAGCTCCCAGTTCTGGGGCACAGAAGCAGCACAGGGCACTGCCGATTCCAGTCCCATGGGGTACCAGGCATGGGAGGACCTGGGGACCATGCAGACCCCTGTTCAGACTTCAGGTGGGTCACTGACAGTCTCTGGATTTTCTTATGAATGAATAGGGCCCCTTACCCCGATGCCATTCCTTTCATTCCTTTACCCATGCCTCCTTAGTCCTAGACTTGGCAGGGCTCCACCTCAGCCCAGGCAGAAACAGGAAAACTAGGCCTAATTACACACCATGATTCCTCGGCTACTGCTTCTGGTCAGCACAGCCTGTGGAGCCCTGGGAACCCACGAAGGCCTCAGGAAGGACTCTGGGGAACTACAGGTCTTGTTTCCCTGAATCTAAATCAGTGTCTAAGGTTGGTACTGATGGCTACTGGCTTGTCACCAGCTAGAAGGACAATTACCCAAACATGGGCGCTGAGAATGACTGATACCATTTGAGGCTGAATCAAGCTTTGCCTGAAGGCAAACCATCCTTGGAACTTCAATCACTGCCCAAGGCCAGTGTCAGCTTTCAGTCACTTTCACCAATGCCCTGAGCATGGTGATGACCTCTCGTCACCCTCTCCACCACAGAGCCCTGCAGGGAAGAGGACCTTGGGCAAGGAACGGGCAAGAGGAAGTGCTCGAGAGGCCAGATCAATATTGACCAAGGTGCAGGCACTCAGAAGTGGGACCCATGGAGACACGGCGGGATGCTAAGCTATGAGGAAGGAGGCTGAGGCGGGTGTGCTGGCGGGGTGCGTGGCGTGGCTCCGAGCAGTGCCCATGTGCTGGGGTGGACAAGGGCCGGGGGCGCGTGGCACCCCTCACCATCTCCGTCTGTTGCTCCTCAGGCTGCCTGTGCCTGGTGCTACAGAAAACCCAGCGGCTCTGCTGCAGGGTCCTCATACTCGGTTCCCACCTTTACTTAGGGTGACAACACAGAGTGGGAGAGAAGGGGCACCTCTTGGCCAGTGCCCCTGCATGGCACACCGGGGGCACATCCGGACATCCCTAGGAAGGAATGGGGTGGGGTATCGCCCAGGGGCTTCCAAGACTGGGCCATGCCCTGGGCCAAGGGCCCAGGTTCTGGGTGGGGAGGGAGGTGCTGGCCGGCCCCCTCCCTCCTCCTGGTGGGCAGGGAGTTCAGAGGCGGGCGGGCGGGCCTGCTTCCCAGCTGTGCACACACTGGCTTGAGGGTGAATTGGGCAGTCTATCTAAGATCTGCGTCACAGACACATCCCACAGCACACAATCCTGTGCCCGTCACCCCCAGCTGGACTCCGTGAGACTACATGACATGGGGCTGCCACGGAGGGAGCAGTCGAAGTGAGCATGCCACACGTAACTCCCTGGACACAGTCACCAAGGCACCCGCAGGCCAGGAGGCCGCCCACCTGCCCACAGTGGCCACGGCCCTGCCGACAGGTGGCACTGGGCCTGCCATCCTCCCCAGTGTGCTAAACCTTGCTCTGAGGGCAGGAGAGCAGAGAGGGCGCCTCAGCAGCAAGTTTGAAAACAGGTGCTGTTTGGTTTGACACACAGGGAAGGAGCCAGGACGAGCAGGCCTCCTCCGAGACCCCCTCAGGTACCGAGGCTGCTGTGTGGGCAGCCTTGGCCTGCAAGCTTAAGCCCGACCTTCACATGCCCATGGCAGCTGCACTTGAGGTTCAGGGTGGGCACATGACATGAGGGCGCAGGCTGGGGAGGCAGCTGGGAGCGGGCACCCCAGACAAGAATCCAGTGTGGGGAGCAAGGCTAGGCCTTGGGGGGCCTTTGCAAACAGGAGGTCAGTTGGTGAGTTTCAAAGGTGCAGTCAAGTCCACTGCAGCTGGCTGAGACCCCTCTGCAGGTCCTGAGCACCTGCTGCCTTGCTGTGGGAGTCCCAGCACTCAGAATGCTGCGTGGACAGTGTGCCAAGCAGCAGGACGGAAGTCCAGACAGAGGAAGTGGGCACGTTCCTCACAGTTACTTTGCTGGAGGATCCCATTTGCTGAGCATCTGGCCTCAAGCGCTTCATGGTCCTTTCACAGTACCAACTCTGCTATCTGGCCCATGCCCAGGACTACCAAAGTCATTTACCTCCAGCGTTTCCTGCATCTCCAGAGGGCAAGGTGAGGTCTTGACCCAAAGGATGCCCTGCAAACATTGCCTGGAACAGGCTGAATGCGTCATCAGCAGAAGGTGCCAAGCTCTTCCTGGTGTTGGGGGTCAGCCTTCTGCCACAGCAGCAAGTGTGCAGGAGCCGGGCTGAAGGCCCAGGCGCGGTGCTGACAACCGTTGCTACCTAGCACCCTCTCCCCATGCCAGGTGGTCTCCCACACCCGCTGGAGACCCTCAACTCACCTAGCCAGTGAACAGGCAGTGCAGAAGGAGAGGGTGGGTAGGCTCAGAAATCTAGCCTGTCCGATTCCTGGAGACTTTTGATGTGACTTTATATGAAAAAAGAATCTTAGCAGTGTGATGAGGAGATTCCCTTGGACTATCTAGTGAGCCAATGCAATCTTATGAAAAAGAGGCGGGGAGATTCCAGACAGAGAGAGAGACAGAGACAGAGAGAGGGGAGAAGGAGGGGGAGAGACAGAGAGAGAAGGGAGAAGAAAGAAGCAGAGGGGTAGAGGGGAGGAGAAGCAGGGAGGAGATAGTGGGGAGTGACATGATCGTGGAGGCAGAGACTGAGCAATGTGGCCACAAGCCAAGGGATGCCAGCAGCCACCAGAAGGTGGGAGAGGCTGGGAATTCATTAGTTCGTAGAGCTTCTAGAGGGAGCGTGGTCCTGCCCATAATGTGCTCACACCCTAGCAATGCAGGACTTTTGGCCTCCAGAACTGTGAGCAAATAAGTATGTTGTTTCCAGCTACTAAGCACGTGATGATGATTAGTTGGAGCAGCCTCAGGACGCTAATTCAGAGAGCACCGCGCATTCCATGTGGGCAGAACTCAGCCATCCCCACTGCCCACCTCCGCAAGCAGCTCCTTCCGGGAGGCACTGAAGCCTGTGTTGCCTGAAGGGGGCTGGCCTGGGTGTGTTCTTGCCTTAACTGTTACCACTTGGAAGGCTGTGGCAAGTCCCCGGGCCCCTCAGGGGTGACGGGGACATGATGGCACACTTTGCTGGGGAGCTGTGAGGATCTGTTTGGGGAACTGGGAAGGAGGCCTGGGGTCACCCTGCAGGCTCATGGGAAGCCAGGGCATATCCACCAAACGGCGTGAGCCAGAAAGGTGGAAGGGGTTGGAGTTGTTGTTGGTTGGTTTTGTTTGGTTTCTCGCAGGGCTGGAGATGAACACAGGGCCTCAGTCATGTCAGGCAGATGGTCCACCGCTCAGGCAAGACACGCGGAGCTTGTTTTAAAGGCAAAGAACGCCAGTGAAGGGGTGCAAGGAGGCCACCGGAGCGGTGCTGGCACAGGAAGTGTTGGGCCCCACAGACTGCTGGCTCTTGTGCTGTGTAGGTCTTTCCACATAGTGCGAGGTAGACCTACGCTCAGCTCCAAAAGCCACCTAATCTAAGCAGGCAGCCCAGGTCACACCATCCCACCAGGGCATAAGAGTGCTGACGAGGACGTGGAGAAGGGGAGACCGTGCGCTGTTCGTGGAGAGGCAAATGGTGTGGCTGCTGTGGGAAATCAGACAGTGATTCTTCAAAAAATTAGGAACGGAACTATCATAAGCAACCCTGCTTCCAGACATATGGTAGTTTTCTCCTAAGTGAGGTTCTGCTTCAATGGTTGTAGTTACCCGTAGTCAACCAGGGACCAGAAAATATTAAATGGAAAATTCTGGAGATAAACAACTCATAACTTTTCAATCACATGCCGCACTGAGTGCTGTGAGGATGCTAGCACAGTCTGGCCCCATCCTTACCCCTTTGTCCAGAGCACCCACACTGCGTGCACTATCTACCCATTAGTCACTTAGTAGCAGCTCAGTTATCAGATCCACTGTCAGGGATCACAGTGCTTCCATTCAAGTAACCCTTATTTTATTTATAATAGTCCCAAAGTGCAAGACCAGAAATGCTGACAATGTGGATACGCCAAAGAGAAACTGCAAAAAGCTTCCTTTTAGGGAAAAGGCACAAGCTATTGACCTAATAACGAAGGAAAACACACTGTGACCTGAGGTTACCAAGATCTACAGTAAGAACAAATCTTCGCTCAGTGAACTTGAGAAGGAAAAAGAAATTTTTGTCAGTTTTGTTGATGCACATCAAACTGCAAATTTATGGCCACAGTGTCTGATACTTGAAGCAGAACCTCAGTTAAGAGAAAACTACCATATGTCCAGAAGCGGGGTTGCTTATGACAGTTCTGCTCCTAATTTTCTGAGGAATCACCATCTGATTTCCCACAGCAGCCACACCATTTGCATGTTCAGATGGAAAAGGCATTAAATTATGGGTTTTATGTTGTTGATGCCATGTAATGCAGGCATTCAGCGGGGGTACGCCTATCCCGTAGGGGAGGTATATACCCAAAATAGTGGGAAGCCAGGTCTCAAAGTGCTATATGTACACCCATTTTCACATCAACATTATCCACAGTAGCTAAAACACTGGAGCAACCCAAGTGAAGCAAAATACGATACGACATAAAACAGCAAAGTATTAAGCCTTTAAAAGGAAGAAAAAGCTGGATATGATAATGTACTCCTGTAATCCCAGTTCTTTGGGAGTCTGAGAAAGGAGGACCTTAAGTTTCAGTCCTGTCTGGATGACCTAGCAACACCCTGTTTCAAAATTTAAAAAAGATAGTCTGGTGTGGTGGCTCATGCCTACAATCCCAGCACTCCAGAGGCTGAGGCAAGAGGATCACTGTGAATTTGAGGCCAGCCTGGGCTACATAGTGAGTTCAAGGCCACCCTGAACTATATAGTGAGACCCTGCCTCAAAAAAAAGGCTACACTGGTACATTGTGTATTATGTGTATTAATCACAATAACAATTCGGGAAAAAGAAAACCCTCTGGGACAGAGGGTCCCAGTCAGGGTCAGTGCTGGCTCTATGTCCAAACAGCGGGGTCTGGGTCACTCTGAGGGGATGTGGTCTGTCCCTCTGTATTGCTAAGGCCCATGGCGTACACTCTGAGGGTCTCCAGCATGGTAAGGGTAGGGCCAGGCCCTCCACCAGCCAGGATGCCAGGTGTGTGTGTGGCTCCTGAAATCTCAATTCCCTGTCACTGGCAGAGCTGGACCAGCACTTGCTGAGGGCACCTGTTGCACTGCTGGGATGGCACAGGGGGGCGGCGGGGGGGCAGGGGGGCGCTGAGCAGGGTGGCCAGCGTCCCCACACAAACGCTTAGGCCACATTCAGATCACTTGCGCCTGTGTTTGTTGCGGTTGAGACCTGATCTCACCATGTTGCCCCAGCTGGCCTTGAACTCTTGGGCACAAGTGATCCCCCCGCCTCAGCCTCGCAAGCGGCAGGGACTACAGGCTTGCATCAGCACAGCTCGCTGCCGGCGTCACTTTGGGCAGTGGCAAAGTGGACTGCAGCTTCTGTGATGAAGTCCCAGTGGTTTCTTCTTACTGACTTTCAGGGCCCAGGAGGCCTAGAGCCCAGGACCGGCAATACATTTAGGGACAAAGAACTCGATGATTTGTCCATGAACAGGTTTCCATTTGACTTTCTTTTTAAATCAGTAGGAAAAAATCCATAGTGACTCATGAATGTAAAATAATGGATCCAGTCTGGATTGTATTTATCACTAAGCCAATGTAGTTATAAAACATATTTTAAAAAACTTTTTATGGAGGAAAAAATCCACCCACAAAGGAAAAATTACCTGGCCCCCACCAAGTCACAGTGCAGGATTGCTTCTGCTTATCAGTAGCATCAGAATCCTTCTCATAAGACATTTTTGTTGGCAGTCTGGTGACATCCACAGGACAACTTCTAGAAGTAGATTTTCATGAAAGAGGCTAGTGGGAAGGGAATTGAGGCCACCCAAGCCCCACTAGAGAGGCCCATTGTCTGAAGATCTTGTACATTGGCCAGTTTTCCTCAAGTCTTCTCCATTCAGAAAAACTGCTGAGAATTCGAAACAACTCTGATCATTACTTGTCTGGAAAGGGAGTGCTGGCTTTCTGTGCATCTTCCCTGACAGTGACCATCAGAAGTCAGAGTGCTGCTCTGGTCCGAGAAAGGAGCAGGAGCCTCTTAGGAAGGTGCCAAGGGCCTTTCCAAACTTAAATCTTGTGATTTCCACTACAAATAGTAAATTGGACCCATGTGCTGACTTTTCTGTCTCTCCAGTTTCTCCTACACTTGGAATTGGATAGTGTTTTTAGGTAGTCTGGCTGGTTGGTGAGGACAGTCACTGAAGTTCAGATCCCAGAATGCCTGGCTCTGGAATCCACATCGACTCTTACGACCACCTTCTCTGGTTGCACCCAGGCCCTCATTTAACACATTTCGTTGAGAAAGGCAGATAAAGAACTAGAGGAAGCGCTCTTTCCTTATTAGAGTTGCTGTTGTCAGGTAGACTTTGGCCAAGAACCCAAGGGGGTCCAAGGAGCCTGTCTTGCAGAAGCCATCGCTTCAAAAAGCAAAATACCAGTGCTTTGGGCCCTAAACCCACACAAGTCTAGTACCCCGGCCCAGAGCTCAGTCTTAATTACCGCCCCAAGGGGCTGCACCCTGACCCAGTGTCTGAGGGAGGCAGAAAAGAAGTCAGGACAGAGCCCTTTCCCGTTAGGGGTACTCGCCTCTGCCTTTTTCCTTCTTCTGTAATCTCAGTCTATTCAACAGCTAAGTGTGTGATCAGTGCATCAGGTCAGTTCTCCCCAGGGCTGTTTGCCACTGTATCCTGGGACACGGTCCCCTGAAAAATGCTATGAAAATGCAGACCCCAGAACTGAAAAGAAGACCGGAGATGAAACTGGCTTGAAGGAAACACTCATCCAGAATCCTGGCCCTCCAGGCCTTCTGGGTCAGCCTGCCTGTGCCCGCAGCCTCTTCTCACACCCTGCTCACCCATGCACACGCCAGCCCTGATTTGGGAACATGCACCTGTTCTCTGCCTGGTGAATGCCCGGTCACCTAACCCTAACCCTTCAGAGACCTGCGTCTCCTGCACAAAGAGCAGCTTCCCCTTCCCCCAGCCCCAGGGCCCTCCTTTGGCACTGCTCTGGGGTTGGGCACACCCACCTCAATCAAAGAAGGCTTTGAGGTCACAAAGACCTGCTGGTTGGCAGTGTGCTCTTCTTCCAGCTCGCAGCCCCTCCTCCCCGTTCCCTACCTGGGCTGGTGCCTGGAGCCTATACTGTTTTAAGAGCGAGGTGGGGTCAGACCACAGAGTGAGAGTGCAGCCCTGAGAGGGCCTTGTGGAGACAAAGCATAGCCGTGCTTCCTGCTCTGGGGCTTAGAAGACACTGCCAAGAGGAAACCCCCCAGACCCAGGAGGAATGAGAGGGTTGAACTTCCCAGGAGTTCAACCAGCCAGAGCAGGAAATTGGCTAGGTCTCTGTGTGTTAGTTGAGCAAACAGTGCGTTCCTCAGGAAGATAGGGTGAGGCCCCAGCCCTGGGTATATGAAGGCTTCTGGGTTGAAGCTCGCCTTGGGTTCTGGAAGCATCCACCAAGGCCCGCTCTGTCATGAAGCTCGCCACCACCATCCTGGTGCTCTCTGTGGCCCTGCTCAGCCACTCTGGTGAGTGTCTCTGGGGGCTTGTGACAGAAGGCCGCCACCATCAGCACCTGCTCTTCCCCTGCTCCTTCTCCTGCTGATTCTGACTCTGTGGCATCCAAACTCTGGGCACCAGCTGTCAGTCCTTGCAGCTTTGACTCTAGGGCCTCCTCGAGGGACCCTGGCTCTCTCTTTCCTGTGGCCCTCCAGGCCTTCTGGGTCAGCCTGCCTGTGCCCCCAGCCTCTTCTCACACCCTGCTCACCCATGCACACGCCAGCCCTGATTTGGGAACATGCACCTGTTCTCTGCCTGGTGAATGCCCGGTCACCCTTCAGGGTACAGAACGAATGTCCCTCTTAGGAGACCTGCCCTCTAGCCTGCACAAAGAGCAGCTTCCTCTTCCCCCAGCCCCAGGGGCCTTCTCCAGCTCTCTGCAGCCTTCTCATGTGACCACGCCACCTCTCCCCATCTGTGTCCCCCAGACTCTGCATGGGGCAGCCATTAGGGAGGGAACAAGTGGGTGGACCAGGCTATTGGGTAGGCAGTGAAGGTGCCCACATCCCCCTGGATACAGACATGTGATTCTCCCCTCCTGTGTGTTGGCAGGTGATGCCTTCTTTGTGGAGTCCCTGGCTAAGCCTGTGGCTGAACCCATAGCAGCCCTGGCCCCCGCTGCAGAGGCTGTGGCTGGGGCTGTGCCCAACCTCCCTCTGCCCTTCAACCCCCTGAAGCTCATGCTGGCCAGCCTGGGCATCCCAGTGGAGCACCTCATAGAGGGTTCTAGGAAGTGTGTTGCTGAGCTGGGTCCTGAGGCTGTGAGAGCTGTGAAGATGCTGCTGGTAACCGCACCCCACCCCACCCCGCTCTGCGAGGGTATCCCGCCATGGCCACCCCGGCCCCAGGCAGGGAGACCTTGTCCTGTCCAGTAAGCCCACCCCTGGGAGAAGCTCAGGCTCACCCTCTGAATAGGGTTGACCATATCTGAACTGCAGGGGGTTGTGAAGGGTCCAGCATGGGGTACATGGTGCACCTCTCACAGCAAACACCAGTGGGCTGTGGTACTGGTCCCAGGATCCACTCCACCCAGTGGCACAGCCTTCCCCAGGGTCAGCACTGGTGCCTTCCTTTCTAGTCTGAGTGACCTTGGACAGAGTAAGAATGAGGGCCCCTCCTCATCTCCCTTTGGTGGCAGAGAGGAGCACACTCATGCTTGGCTCCTCTTTTCCAGGGGGCCCTGACTCTCTTTGGTTGAACCAAGAATGGAATAACACTGACTCAGGACAAGCTGCTGCCCACCTCAAGGACGGGAAACCCTGCTTCCATCCTGATGCTCCTACCTTCCCCAATAAACATGGCTGAGCTTTGAATGCGATGTTTTCTTGCCTGAAAACCAATCCTCATAGGGGCCGAGAGCACCTGCTCCAGATTGAGCAGGTTGTGTGTGTATGAGAAAGCATGTGAGTGGGCACTCACTGCTGGCAGGTGGTGTAGGGCCAGCGATCAAGAGTGACAGGAACTGAGTTAAACTAGATGTGGAAACTAACTTAGGGACTTCCCCCATATCTTCTGTAATTTTTAATGAGCAGAGCAGAGAATAGTTTTCAAATAAATGGAAATTATTTAATCCTTGAAGACTGGCAGAAATGTGCCAAACAACACCATTTATTGCTAATATCTGACGGTTTTTATCCCCTTGACATACATATTTCTCCTTGGCATGGAGCAACACCGAAGGCTACAGGATCCGCCAGCTGAGTGTCTTTCCCTGTGGCTCTGGGTGGTTTCATTCAAATGGCCCAGTGGCTTTGATGCCTCTGTCCCACCAAGGGGACCACCACCTTTGGACTGAGCCCCGTTGCTGGTGGGACAGTGCCGATAGGATTCAGACATTGATTTCCACTTCAGGGGAAATTTCCTAGTAAACTTGTTGTTGAAAAGCATAATTAACTCCATATTGTGCTCCCTGGGAAAAGATTTTCTACTTAACACTAAAACATAGACCTGGCCTTTTTCTGTTCCTACTCTGACAAGAATATTCATGGGCTTGAACTTTTTTTTTCTTTGGTGCCACTCTAATAAGTTCACAAACAAGGACAGAGAGGAAGTCATTGGATACAGTTTAAGTTTGAATCTGACTGTGAAAACATTGCTCAAAAGATTGTCAAGGGTTGTGAATCTTGGTAGAGTGTCCAGTCTGGACAACCACAAGTCGCATGCAGTAAACACTTATGCAAGTCTGGTGGGGAAGTTGTGGAGACAAAGATCCTAACGCGTGCCCAGCCAGCCTCTGCCACCTTTCTCTACCCAGGCTCTTTGCTGGTTTTCTGGGAACAGTTCCTTCATGAACTGAATTAAATAGAAACCGTAGGGGATGTGCATGCTGCAGGGGCATACGGGGACTGACGGTGGAGGGCTTGTGTGCTGGACAGAGGACCGTCCTGTGCCGCTTTGCCAGCCTCCACCTGTGGGACTGCCCCAGGAAAACAACGGAGAGGGAGATGAAAGTGCTTGAAGAGACCATGAGATCAGTTGAAGTACCAATACTGTATGCAATAGCCAACTTCTTTCTGCCTGTAGATTCCTGGGGAGTGACCAACACAATCCTGAAGGAGCTGGCTCCTAAATCTACTACATGAAAACAAAGTGAAAATGAACAGTACAAAGAGATGGGTTGTAGTGGGCGCTGTAGCATACCACCCAGACTTCCCCTTCAAGAGGAAGAATTTCTTTACTCTTGGGATGTTGGTTGCTGACAGCAACTGGCTGAACTACTTTCTGGGAATTGTTCTCAAAGATATCCACCTTGTCCTACCCCAGAGCAGTCTGTATCCAACAGTTGCTTGACGCAGACTGTGAATGCCTGGACTGTGCCTCAAAGTGGAACAAATTCAAAGAGTCTTCACAGCACTAGAGCCTCCCATGATCTGAGGCCTTTATGACTGCGCTAACATTCAGCTTCACCCTTTGCCCAGTATAAGGTCCTCATTTTTTCCCATACCACAACATAATGGTCGTGGACTTAGGGTGCAGACTTTTGTCCTGAGGTACAGTTCCCCATTCACACAGGATTGTCATTTCCGAACTAAAGCCTCAGTTGCATCTTTAAAAAGGCTATTCCGTTCTGATGTTCTGATATGGTGCACAAAACTGTCTCAGAGAATGCTTCAAAAGCAGAAGATGGGGGCCGGGGAGATAGCTCAGCAGCACGAGCGCCTGCCTGGCAAGCCCAAGGTCCTGAGTTTGATTCCCTGTACCAAAAAAAAAAGAGCAGAAGATGGTACTGTTTACTGAAGGAAAGTGTCTCTAAAATTAATCAATGGTAGAATGAAATGTTCAAAATGATTACTTAAAACACCTCAAAATAGAGGTTAATGTAGTGTTAATGATAAAAGACTTATGCCAAATGCTACTGATTTGTCCTTTTCTACTGAGCTACTGCTCATCAATGCTCTACTTTTAGTTTCCGTCCCCTGTTTGTTATAAAATGAAGTTTAAACATAACTACCTTGCTGATGATGTTGGCCTCTTTTCTAGACTATCAAAAGATGACGGCTCATTAAACAACAAAATCCATCCCCCTTGTCTCCTTTAGATCAGTCAGGGTGAGACGTTTGATCCCTCACTGAGCAGAATCAATGCCCCTCTTCAGCCTGACGCAGTTACAGGAGGCACCCTTTCAGCCCTTGCACAACCCTGAGCAAGAAGGCGTCAAAGTGTGTGTGGGGTGTCAAAGAAACACAGGTAAAAAGAAGACACGGCCAATTATAATTTTAAAAATAGAAACCTCAGAGGGCTGGGGGTTTAGCTCAGCGGCACAGCACCTGCCTGGCAAGCGCGAGGTCGTGTGTTCAATTCCCGGTACCAGAAAAAAACCGAAAAATAAATAAAAACCTCAGCTTCAGGATGCAAACTCAGTTCTTTAAAATTTTTTTTCTCCTTCTCTTCTCCTAGAACACATTAAGCCTGGGCCCTTCTCTTCCATCTGCAAATAGGTACAGCCCTTCCCTTATTTTTTGCAAGTGGTCCTGTTTCACCTGTGCACAGAACTGACTCCAATTTGAGCCATTTCAGGGGGTACCAAGCAGGACTCCAAGTTCCACAGACAACCGCCCTGCCCTGGTCATACTGGAAGCTGACCTCTATGCACGGCAAAAGCTTGAGGATGCTGTACATGGGACAGTAGCCCCCATAAAAACTAAATACAAACTGAAAGAGGCCTTTTCTAAACCAGGGTATTCTTTGTGACCTCTCCTTGGAAAAAGTCACACTATTTTCCTTTTCCTGCCCTCCCCTTGCTTCACAATTGCTAGAAAGACCCGTGACAGATGAGGCAGGCCTCCGACACCGTGTTTCTACTACGCCTCTTTTTATGGATTCTACTCTCCATCCTGCTGGTGCTACGGCTAGGTTGCCTCTTGCCTCCAGGATGGAATCACTTCCTGTGTACAGTCACGCTAGCCGGCACAGTGCTCTTGTTCCCTGCCGAGGCTCTCCCACAAGTCTTCCTGTGGACGACCCTTACCTGTACAGGAGGACACAGCTTACTCGCTCCTTACTCAACTGCTCTAATCCCTCTCCACCTCGACTGCTGGCTCTGCATCTCCATGTCTGCAGCTGCCTATGCGGCCACTCCCGCTCCTCCTAGGGTCTGGGTCCTCACCAATCTCACACACTATCCCCAGTATAGAACAAGAGGCCCACCTCAACTCTTCAACAGAAAGCCCTATGAGAGGGACTCAGGGGGACATACGGCCTGACTCTTTCAGTCTTATTTTTTTTCTGAATTTGAATGATCTGACTTTATTTAGCACACCAGTACAACTTAATAAATTAATATGTACAGTTACAAAAAAATGTTGGGTGCTAAGAAAAATCCTTCTGGATGTATAAAGCATATGCAGAATTTTTAACACAGGGTGACTTAATTTCCAAAATCAGAAGTGTGGCAACATCAAATTATTGGGGGAAATTGGAGTTTCCTGTCTAATTCATGATTCAGTTTTGAGTGTATGAAGTTTTCAATCACCACTTCAGTTCCTGTAAGCCACCACACCTGAAATGAGACCTGACAGCTAAGAAGCCGCCTGCTATGGTCTCCCAGCTGTACAGATGAGGAATCTACGTGCTTGGCCAAAGACGACAAAGTTAATCAGACACAGCACCTGGGTTAGTTTTCATAGGTGCCCTGGGGCAGGGGCAGGGAGTAATAAATAAGGCACACATATCACACAGATGTCCAGTAATACTAGGAAGACCCTGATGGTCCTTATATCACTAACCTCTCTGCATACAAAAGGGCAACAAAGCTGATACATGGCCCTATAACCACTGACACTAATCTTCCAGGGCTCTGTCTGTATTCAGCATAACTTACCTACCTTAGGCACACTGCTGGGACATCCACCCCCCAGCAGTGTAACTATACAGGACACATGGCCTCAGCTGACCAAGCCCATTACCAGGTTACCCAGGATGCCCCATTCACTCAGCTTGTACAGTTTTCCAGTCCTCCCAAGGTTGCCACAACATCACTGCTCAATAAACAGTCAGGGTTCTGCAACGGCCAACAATTCCCATGCATTACCATGTTCCCACCCACCCCTTGTCGCCAGCCCCATTTGCTCAGACTGCCTCCTTCTGCCCACTTTCAACCATTCCCAGTCTTCCTCCACTGGGAAAATAAAACAAAAGGCACTGGTCAGATTCCCCATTAGGGGTCTTTCCAACCTCTGACGGGAGCTACCCTGGCAGACATGCTGGGTATGTGGGAACAGGTTGGTACATCGAGTTGGTTTAAGTATTAATTGTTAAATCAATTGTTGAGTAAAGGCTTGGGCCAGTTTTGGAAGAAGTCTGTGAGCAGTCTGAAAATACAAGGTGCTCTATTTTTCTGGCTGACCTTTTCTTCTGTAAAGTGGGTTTTCTCTATGAATGGACCATTATCTTTCTGTGGCTAGGCAAATCTTTACAAAAAGATTGTCAAATTCGAGACTTCCACTCCTAAAAATATGTAAATATTTTCAGTTCCAAACTGTGGGTACACCTCTCTGTCAAGGCTGTGCACTCCACTCTTTTTTTTGGACCAGGAATCAAACTCACGAACTTGAGCTTGCCAGGCAGGCAGTTATGCCGCTGAGCGATAAACCCGGCCCTACTTCTTTTTTTTTTTTCCCCCACTCTTGAGCATGTACTAAAATTTCTGCCTAATAAGTCCTTCCTATGCCTCTTAAAAAATAGAAAATAAAAAAATGAAAAAAAGTTACTTAGTGGGGAGAGAGATATCAGGTGGAAAGTTAGATTTCTTCAAACGTATTTTATTCTGCCAGCTAGACATTGTAACCATGTAAATACTTAATACAAAGACAAA